ATTTGACTCTCACGAGTATGAAGACTGGGAGCAAGATTAGTGTGATAGTATGGAATAGTATGGAACCCAGGATTAGATCATCACATGGTTGTGGAATAGTATGGAACCCAGGATTAGTGTGAACTTCATGTTTCTTGATACTACCAAAGATGTGTGGAACCATGCGAAGAAATTGTATTCGGGGCAGGACAATACAACCAGAGTTTATCAGTTGTATCAAGAGTACTTTAACTTGCAATAGGGCAATCAGAGTCTTGAGGAGTACTATGCCAACATGAGAAACATACGTAATGAGTTGAATGTCTATTATCCTCTTACTTCTGTTGTCAAGATTCAGCAACAACAGAGAGAACAACTTGATGTGACTAGATTTTTGGTGGGACTAAAGTCTGAATATGAACCAGTACGGGCTCAGATATTAGGAGGATCAACTCTTCCCTACTTAGAAGAGGTATTTGCTCAACTCCGGAAGATTTCTATCGGAACTATTGAGAACTCTAATATCTCAGATAGATCTGCCTTTGCTGTATCGAGAGGCCGTGGTGTTAGAGGTGGAGCTAGGGGAGCTCAGTCTGGCCGTGGTGGTGGTAGTGGTTCTGCGTATGGCCGAAGTGGCAATGGTGGGTCTACTCATAATCGTGGTGGTGGTTGTATTGGGGGCTGAGATTCAGGGGGAGCCCGTGGTAGAGGACGTGGCTCAGGCCTGAGGAAGTGCACTCATTGTGGTATGGATGGACATACAATCAACTATTGTTATGATCTACATGGTCCTCTCTCAACCTGGGCCAATCATGCCGCAACCGGTGACAGAAGTTTTAGCTTTAGACAAGAGAATCATTCATCTGATCAGATGCCTCCTACATCCACAGATGGTCCCGTGAAGGAGATGGTGAGTGTTCCCCRTGATGAATATGAGAGGTTTATCCAATCACAGCAGAACACGATGACTTTCGCTCACTCAGGTATGGCTTGGCTAGCATCCACATCCAATCCCTAGATCATTGACTCTGGAGCCTCTGATCACATGACTGGAACTCCGGGTGTGTTTTCCTCCTTATCTCATTGTAGTGTTCCCCGTGATGAATATGAGAGGTTTATCCAATCACAGCAGAACACGACGACTTCCGCTCACTCAGGTATGGTTTGTCTAGCATTCACACCCAATCCCTGGATCATTGACTCTGGAGCCTCCGATCACATGACTGGAACTCCAGGTGTGTTTTCCTCCTTATCTCATTGCTCAACATCCCAATCTGTCACCCTTGCTAATGGTTCAACATCCTCAATTTGTGGTGTTGGTAATGTTGACCTAGATCCTTTATCCCTCTCCTCAATTCTGTATGTTCCTAAATTGCCTTTTAATCTTATGTCTGTTAGTAAGCTGACCAAATCACTTAACTGCTTCATTACCTTTTATCCTTCTATGTGTGTTTTTCAGGATCTCAAGACGGGGATGAAGATTGGTGGAGGACATGAAGTAAGTGAACTGTATTATCTTGACGGTGGTGGCGGTAGAACTTCAACAGCTCTCCAGTCATCTCTTTCTCCTCTCCAGTGGCACTACCGATTTGGTCATCCGTCGCTAAAAGTCTTAAAGTCCTTGGTTCCGTCCTTGAGTCAGCTTTTTGTTTTGGATTGTGAGTCGTATCAGTTTGGGAAACACCATCGTGTTCCCTTTAGTTCTAGGGTTGATAACCGTGTGTTGAGTCATTTTTCTTTAGTTCATTCAGATGTTTGGGGTCCCTATAAAGTGATGTCATATAATGGATAYAGATATTTTGTCATTTTTGTGGATGATTTTTCAAGGATGACGTGGCTCTATTTAATGAAAGAAAGAAGTGAATTGTTTACCATTTTTCAAAAATTTTATGCTAAGATTCGTAACCAATTTGGTACCCACATCAAAGTTTTCCGTTTTGATAATGGCCGCGAATATTTATCCTCATCATTTYAGGAATACCTGGACCAACACGGCATTATACATCAGACCTCGTGTACCTACGCCCCACAACAAAACGGGGTGGCTGAGAGAAAGAATTGCCATCTCCTTGAAACAACAAGATCCCTTATGCTTCACATGCATGTTCCCAAACCTTTTTGGAGTGATGCCGTGCTTACGTCTTGCTTTCTGATTAATCGGATGCCCACGTTCATCCTTGATGGTCATTCTCCGTTTTGGGTCTTGTTTCCCACTTTGTCTCTGTTTCCTCTTAAGCCGAGAGTTTTTTGGTGTGTCTGCTTCGTTCATAATCTGGGTCCCGGGAATGACAAGTTCGATGTCCGTTCTCTCAAGTGCATCTTCCTTGGCTGCTCTCGGACCCATAAAGGGTATAGGTGTTACCATCCTGGTTCTCGACGGTCCTTTGTGTGTGCTGATGTCAGCTTCTTTGAGTTTACTCCGTTCTTTTTGGGGTCCGGTGATTCTTCTTCCTCCTCATCACCTCCTCCTCTTCCACTTTCCGTTGTCGACCCTCCTTCCTTTGTTCCAGTCGTGACCAAACCCTTGCCTCTGGTGCCACCACCTGTTGAACGGCCACCTATCCGTCATGTGTATACACATCACCCACGCACACCAGCTACTACTCCTCCGGCTACATCTCCATCGACGGATCCGGCACCAGACTCGCACTTAGCATCTGAGCTTGATCTACCCATTGCTTTGCGGAAAGGTAAACGTATTTGCACCCTTCATCCCATTTCTAATTATGTTTCTCTTACTCACCTTTCCGCTTCCCATCGCCAGTTTGT